CCCCCCCCCCCCCCCCCCCCGCTTAAAAACTATTTTATGATTTAGGATCCCCAAACATTTGGTTTTATTTTCATAATTTATTCTTTTGGAGATAACTTATGTCTAGAATATAATCAAGAATTCAGGTAGAATATCAACGTCACTTGTTTCATCAATCACTTTTCTAAGCTTCCCATCTCCAAGTTTGAGTATCCCATAAGGATAAGATTGTGTGCCCCTATCCGTGCAAGAGGACATTGATGAATGCAATCTTACTCTAGGTTAACATATAAACTTTACAATAGGATCACAGTTTTGATGAATTGATGGTAGCACCTATAGGTCAATTATGTTTTGTCTATTCTGCTTGAAGCACTGCATAGATAATTTTTTAGAAAAAATTTATTGGAAATATAAAATATTTAAATCGAAATACAAATACCATGTGTCACATCACATAGCATATGACTATAGTCAATGACGATCCATCTCTACCTGTATATGTAATATCTAACATAAAATTATACTAATATTTATCTCATGAAAAAGTACAAATGTTTTTTGTACTTTTTTTGGCATGCTTAATAAATATATTTTTTTATTTTTTATACATAACTTTTTAGAATAAAAGGTTTAGTCCATAATGCCTTTCTTATGTATATTAGAATAAAAGCTTTGGTCCATAATGCCTTTCTTATGTATATTTTAATCCAAAATTTTTTATATTTTAATCATCATTAAAATACCATTGTCATCATCATCATTATTACTATTATTCAACATCACTTAGGGACAAAATTTTAATCGGTGTCCTTTATAAATGATAGTTTTTCAAAAATAGAAGCTTCGGTTTACTTATGAAGCATATGTCATGTACTAATCATTATATAAATCCTTATTTTGAAAAAAGTAAAAATGGAAAGTGGTGGGTAGTTTTACAAATTTACATAAAAATAAATTTATCTTGTCGGATATTTTCAATATTAATTAAAATATTTGTAACTGCATATGTCCTTTTCCTTATTCCTTTAAATATTTTCCTGGAAATATTTATATGAAACTCCACATGAAATTTCCCATTATTTTATAATTTATAAAAAATATATATGTATGAATAATTTAATATTACAAAAAATCATACAAATATATTCATTTTTGCCAAAGTTTTCCTCATTTAAAATTTAATATATAATTTTATTCCTAAAATAATAAATTAATTATGTATATTCTGGAAGCTCAACTCTCCTTTTTAATATATAAAGGATAAAGGATTATCTCAAAGTATCTTTATTTTTTATTGAAATGACAATAATGTAGAAATAAACTGATACTTCATTGCAATAGATTCAATAACACTAAGGATTCAACAATGTACTCATTTAAAGAAACCCCTTCCAAACAAAAAATAAAAAATATTTGTTGGGGAGAGAATTTATTTCTACCA